ACCTCTAAATACTATAACCAAAAAAAATGCAAATGTATTTTGGAAAAAGTTTTTTAATATTTACATGTTTGATTTCAGTAATATAAATGCTTATCCAAAGTTAGATGCTCACTCACCTGAAACTTTTTGCATTTAAGTCTTCCTAGCAGGACACCATCAATGTGCACAACCAGAGTGGACAAATCCTGAGAAGTTATGAGTAATGCAAGAGCCCACTCACACTGTACAACTCCCAGGACAATGCGTTATGTACCACTTAACATTCCTTAGTTTTTCTGCAGGGCAATGATTTCATCTGCAGTGCATCTGCTCTCTGTCTGCTGGAATAACTCACCTCATTCATTCAGAGGATATTTTCTAAAAACAGAGCTGCTCTCACGTCTCAGTTTAAGGACAAATAGCCCTTTTAAAAACAAATGTCTGGCCAAAACTTTTATAGTAATTGCAAATGTTATCCCATAATTTAAAGGAAAGATCTTTACTGAACAAGGCTGTTTCCCCTCATATGCCAAGAAGACTTTTGATTAATTTTCCTGCTTCTCAGATATTTTGTATTCATTTAAATTTCAATTAAAGAATTATTAGAATCTGTAGAATTTGCTTCCTAAATTAAATAGTAATTTTTTGCAATCAGTATAACCTAATAGATCAACCTCAGGTCAAACTTGATTTTCTGATGCACTCAACTTTATTGCTCAGAGTGGAACATATCTTAATATAGCATTCGAGTTTCCTTTTTCTCTACAGATCAGATCAGAACAGTAAGCTGGCTTACAGAATTAATCCTCAGAATCAAATGAATCAAATGACTGCTTATTGATTTAATAGATGAGGGGGTTATTTGATTTTGAAAATGTTATTTGTAATTGCTAATCATGTTTTTATCTGTGCCCATTAGTATTTTTATAGTGCAAAATACATGAGGGGTAAGTCATCTTTAATAGATATAAAGAACTGCATAATCTACCACCTATACACCTAATCTCTTGTCACGCGCAGCGCTGAAATTCCAAGTAATCCAGTATTTCCAATGGTATTCACAAATAGTACTGGTGAAAATGTGTACATGTCATAGTAAGTGTAGTAGCCTAGTTATCTGGAGGAAAGCCTGTTTTAAACACTACCGAAAGAAGTTGGAAATAAGTATCTATTCTCAGCCTGTAGACAGATGTTGATCTTCTCTGAAGATTCATGTATATCCATGGTGGAAGAGGGTGGACACGGGAACGTGACCTTCCACCTGCCGTGGAGGCTGTCACCTCGGCAATGTTGTTCTCTCTGACTCAACAAATACCTGCTACTGTGCAAAATGAAAGTTACTGCGATACCCCCCAAAGCAGTTAGTTTAAGCCTTGTTCATTTTATCAAGCTTTCTGATACCCCTTAATAAATAAATTTCACAATAAGTAGGATTTTCAAAAGCATTTAAATTACATTGAGAGTGTAAGACTCTAAATCCCATCTTGCCTAGACTTGTCTTTGTACAGGATCTGTTATGATGTTTTAAAGAAAGAGCAAATGAAAGAGATCTGTTCTTTCGTAGTTTAAGTTCTAGTCCTCCATGTGAAATTCTGAATAAAATGTGTTCCCAAGAGGTTTACAGCAAAGGGGTTTATAGCAAAGCCCCAGGGTTTATGGGAAAACCCCTTGGGGAGACAGTTACTCATAAATTCCTTTCCCAAACACAGAATTGCTAGCCAACAACATTAATATAATTCAGACTTTCACATGCTGGTGGATGTATTAGCTGATGGTATTTGAGCTGCTTTGAAATGCTGCCTGAGCCTACAGATGCTGCCTTTAAGCATCAACACCAGCTTTGTCAGGTGGCAATAATTCCACTGCTGCTGCATTCAGGAACAGTTATGTCTTGCTGTTAAGGCTGCTCCATCCTGTGCCGGTTGCCTGAGACTTTCTCATACAAAATACTTGAATCAAAGCCCTTGTCTCCTACCTTCCTGGTATTTAAATAATGCAGTCTTCCTCTACAATCTGCATCCTTCTGATGTAAAAAGAAAAAGCAATCGTGTAACATTGGCTAATTCTTGTGGTTGGACTGCTTTTTCAAATATAATTTTCTGCAGGAGACATGCAGAGTGTCATTTTTCACAAGGAAATGGCACAATCCAAGAGCGTAATCACAGTGGTTGTTTGCTCCATCTCCCTGTCTCTTTGTCTTTCTGTGAATCTCCAACACTTATGATATCAGTTTCCAATTATATGATCATATTTGGTTTATGAATCCAAAGGTTGAATGAATTGTATGTACTGAAAATTGTATCTACTGAAAAACTTGTTCTGTTCTCTAATTTGGCAACCCTAAATATGATTCAGAGTTTAAGTTCACAAGTCTTTAATAGTTTGTTTCTTATTTTGACAATCCCACCAAACTGTAAGATTGTTAAGTCAACCAGTATTCGTACAGTTCAGCTGTACTCATCTGCAAACTACTTAAATTCATGTCCAATAAAGTGTAGCCTGTGGCAAAGCAGAATGTGCCTAATTTGTAGCCAGAATTTCCTCAAAGATTTATCAGCAGTCTACGTTGTAAATACATGCTGTATTTTCAGCAGAAAGCATTGTTATTCGTATAGTACTGGAAGCTCAAAGAACCACCTGCCCACACAAGCTATCAAGCAAAGGTCTAGGGAAAAGCTGACCTTGTAGCCAAGAAAGTGTTACTTGCCTTGAACCCAATTTAGTGATAGCATAGAGTAGATGTGGCAGTTCTGAAGACCACTGTTGGATTCCAAATTTTAGATATGAGAAAAGAAACTGCTAAACAGAAAACCCTGAGTCACAGAAGCTGGGGAAAACCCCTTTTTAGTAACTTCATCACTGTGGATTCTTCCTGCCTCCTCCAGCATGATGGAAGAGACTCCTTGCATGATGTTATCACATGCCCTGCCCAAGCCAGAGAGACCATACCCTGATTTGATCAACCTATACAGAAGACCCATGGTGTTTTATCTCTCCTTTTGTGTTACCTGTCCCCCCTGTAAAATCCCCCAAGTTAAAGTGGGTTTTTCCCATGAGGCAATTCCTAAGACCCCAAGATTTGTCAAACCTGGTTTTTCCCTTACCTCACCTCTGGAAAGTCCTCAATTGTAATAGAATGAATATGCAAGCCCCCTGTTGAATATGTAAACCATGAACTGCCACGCCCGGGGTGGAAGTAGGAACACGACAGCATACAGGGGTTCAGACAAGGTGGAAGGTCTGGAGTTATTGCCTTCATTAAGGGACTACACTGGCTTTTATAGGGTTCGGGGTGGAAGGCACTGGAACATGAGTGGAGCATGGGACAGACAAGGGAATGAACCAACGATGAGGGAAAATGATGTTAGCACTAGCTAATCACAGGGCTTTGAGCACGGTGGCAAACTGCGGCCAATCAGAGCAAGGGACAAGAACATGAGGGGAAAAACGAGTCCGAACATGTTGAAAATGACTGTAACTGGGGTACAAGGTAATATATAACATGCATTAACAAAGTCTGTAGTCTGTAGTAATAAAGTCTATTTCCAATGAGGATATAGGTAGCAAAACTCGAGGCCACTGATGTCCTTGGTGCTCCCTCAGTAACTTTCATACAGTTCACACCATTTTCTGAATCTTTCCCATTCATCATCTTCAACAGCCACAATGAACCCTTTAAATATGAAGTTGTGAACCCAATAAAGGATTCCAGTTTTCTGCCTCCCCTGGGATTGTGATAGCTTATTGACCTCCGCAGACCACAAAAAGGAGGAGGGAATGAAAATAAGGGGCAGTGGCAGATGGCCAATGTCCCTGATCAAACAGATGAAACAAGGTCTGCAGAGTACCCAAGAGCTCCTGGGTGTTCAGCCTCACAGGCTCAGGGCCAGATTTGAGAAAGGCTGCTGGTGGCCTTGAGAGAAAGAGAACAGAGGTCAGCAAGGGCTATCCTGCTTCACAGGATGCTGCTTTTAAGCTGAAGCTCTTGCCCTCGGTTCCTGCCTGAGGTGTCCCAGCTACACCTGTGCCTGGCCAGGGACCATTTATCTGGACCACAATCCTGACACTGTGTATTGAGGCTGTCCCTGCATCCCAGTGGAGATATGCCTGATGATGGGGACTCCAGCGTACTGGAGGCCCCAGCTGAGGAAGTATGGAGAAATAAAAAATAACAGCCCTTTGTTAAACGATACCTGTGTATTGGCAGAACAACAAAAGAACACAAAACCAACCAAACAATAATCCTGTACCCAAAAATCCCCTTCAAAAAGGAAACAGTTCAGTACTTTCTGCCTTTTGGAGCAATTCTAACCATGATTGGCAGGTGGTGCTGTTGGATCACTGGAGGTGCAGAGCCCTCAGTTGCTCGGTGTTGGTCAGCAGGTTGGGCTCTGGTGGTCACCGCGTGGGGCCCCAAAATGCGAGAGAAGCTGAAAATGGAGATCTCCTCCCCATCGAGAAGGGGAAAAGGAAAAAGGGGGAAGAGGGGGTTCTTCCCACGAAACTCACGCTGTCTGAGGCTGGCTGTGGCCAGGATTTCCCCCTCTTTGTTGATGGGCACACGCTGCTGCCAAACACGGGAGTGGAGGAGGGAAAGGGCGACCTCCTCCCCAAAAGGTTCCTCTGCAGGTGGGTCAAGCCTCTCCGACAAAGTCTGAGCAGGTCTGGGCTGGGGGCAGCACAGGGCGCAGGAAAGCAGAGGCAAACCTGGGGCCAGAAAGCAGCCAGATGACCAGGTCGAAAACAAAGTGAACCTCGGACCCCTCCAACACACACCCTCTCTCCATCAGGGCAAAAGTGGAGTGCCTCCCTGTTAATGTTTACCTTGGCTGAATGCCAGGTATTAACTGGGCCTGCGCCCAACCTCCCTCGGGAGGGAAAGGGGAGGAGGAAAGGGGGAGAAGAAGGGAAAAACTATGAAAACCGTAACTGCCAAGAAAAACGGCTTTATATGTACACAGAGAGAAAAAAAAACTTATAAAACTATACACACAGAGAAGAACTAACAACAAAGATTACTTCCTCACAACGAACACTCTTCTCCCCCGAAGAAGCAGCCCATCCACCACCACGCACCTACCTGGAAGAGAAGAAAACCCTTACTTCCTTCCCGTCTTTTATATCTGAGCTGACGTAACATCGTATGGAATATCTTACTGGTAAAATATACACCAGGTGATCTATCCTAGTTCTGTTTCCCTCTCAGAGAGGGTAACAAACCCATTACACTCCCATTTCCGAGGAGAGAGAGAAAAAAACCCCAAAACTCATCACCCCTCCCCACAGTCTTCAGAGGGCCATCAGCTTGGAATGTGGATCTGCTGGTTAGTTCTTTTGTGTGGGTCAATCACCCAAGGCAAAACTACCCTCCCCTGTTCGACATCCCCCCTTTACAGCAATGCAGAGGAAAGAAAAGTTCCCTGCCTGTTTTTTTAGAACAAGTGAACCTATGACAGTAGGTCACTCCATCCCTGCTTTTCCTTTGAAGTGGTGTGGCAAGATGGAACTGCTACTCATCCTTACAGAGGAGTATATCAAGCATCACGAGGGATTCCCCTGCCCTCTTCCTTTTAAAAACCAGCTGTCAAGTGGACTGAAAATCTTCCTTTAATTGTCTGGACAGTCTGCTAAACAGCAGCAGTCTGCTGTTGGTGTGCAACAAATGGAGTTGGATTTTTTTTGCAGCCTGTCTCAACAAATCCATGCTTGTTTTGCTTTAGTAGCCCAGCATTTTCCCTGCTACCAGCTTGTCTCTGCTTCAACTATACACTTTCCTGTCTTTTAATGCAACACCTTATGAATCTCTGTCCTTTTTCCTTCAAAATGCGGATAAAATTGCAACCTGATCCTTTAATTATCAAGTTGGAGCTGGGTAATGCTCTTCTGGTCATTCTATGACAATATCTCTAGGACTTCACAAATAATTTAGTAAATCAGACTCCACATTTCATCTATGTCCAGCCAGGTTTATTTGGTTGTTCTTTTCTTTTCAGATCAATATATGTATAAATGAGTTTATGTATAAAGCAGTTTATTACAGTGATCTGCTACCCAGTGCTGAAGACAATGTGTCTGCCACCACTGAAGTTTATTCTGGAGGTGCAGTCTGCTTGTAGACTGTGTAGAAATTAGCATACTGAAGATAGAAACTCAGCTGAGATTTCCATTTACTGCCATCAGAGAAAACATCATATAAATAGTTGAAATGATGTCACTTTAAAAAGGTACACAAAACAACAGTTGAAAACATTGAAAAATAACTTGCAATATGACGAAATATGTTACTACACAATAGTGAAATATAAGGAAGCACAGGCACTGTTTTCGATAAAAGGAACTGGAAGTACCTTAGCTATATAGTTTCCAGATTTTATCATGTCAGGTTTACTTGCTTTGGCTCTAGCTACCTCTTCTGAACAAAACAAAAAAACCCCCAATCCACCAACCAACCAAAAAAACACAAAACCCACCCAAATCTGCATAATAGCACAACAAATTATATATAATATTAAAATAAAAACTATATATATATATATACATGTATATATATATGTAGAGCTGTTGGGAACAAAAACTGTTGTTGTTCCCAGAGTGCCCTTCGGGACTTCAGAAAGCACTGGTATATGGTCAGTGCAGTATCTTGTGTTCAGTTTGAAAACAAGGAATATTTTTTTCAAACTTTAAAACACACAGAAAACCACCTGGAGAAAAAGCATAATTTGTGAGCAAACGTTATGAAACCTTTGAAGTCTTTGTGCTCCCTCTTGCATTTGGAAATATTGGTGCTATGCATGTACTGCAAATGTGTTGCCAGCTGTCAGAGACACCCGATACGCGGCATGCCGTGATCTACATACTTCGTATATGTGGCCTGAAATAGGGGTGAAGGAAAGCAGTAGAGAAACACAGTGACCCAAGGGATCAGATTTTAAGCTTTTGGCTTAGGAGAACGTGTTTACACACCAAAATTAGACTATTTTATTCTGCAGAAGTCAGAAGAGTATGAGTAGCTTGTGCTATCCCTGGTGCATGATTTAAAAGGTGCTCACCTTGTAATAGTTTATCCCCTCACAGCAGAATAAGCTGTAGCAGTTAGTCTGTCCATAAATGGTGTGCGAGGAATTGCACCATGTAGCTCTACTGGAAAAGAAGTTGTAACCCTACCACCTTCCATTCTTCTCATGTTGGTATAGCTATGTGTTGATCAAGACTTAAGAGGGACAGCAATTTGCCAGGGCTGAGAGTGACCGTGCAGATAACAGAGAAAAGCAAAAGAGTCATGGAAGAAAAAACTGAAAATATATCAAAAAGCATCACGATTGACTCAGGTCTTAATAGTTAATACATAAAACATGCCAATACTTTAAATTAAGGCAGATATTACTCAGTTAAGCAGCAGTCATGAAATCTTTTTCTAATTCAGGAAGTGCTTAAAACTGATCAGGGAATTGGAGTATGTGTTTTTTTATGGTTTAGTGACTGAAAATGATGATACAAATGAAACCACTGAGCAAGAAAGTTCATTTCAGGTTAATGTACAAACACAGCTCAAAAAACTCAGGGCTCCATTATCTTATAAAAGTAATCACAGCATTCATCTCTACCTGATGCAGCATGCTTTTCTAGTTAAACAGCCTTACAGATGATGAGCATAGCTATAATTTTTCAGTAATGGAGTCACTGTTCACAAATTTAAACACAATTGTAAAAAAATCAGTTCAGGAAATACATACTTTTCAGAACTTGTAAGCAGAGGAAAGTCATTAATTAGAAACATAGGACAGTCCATCCTGACGTCAGAGCTCAATGTTTGTCACTCAAGGTACGTCCTTGTCACACTTCTGTTCACTCAAGGGCACCTTTCATTAAGAGGGAGAAGAAATGATAGACAGGAAATCACAATTTTCTCTTTTAAAAAAATTCTTTGTTCACTGCTAAACACATCTAGATGAAATACAGGGTGAAAAACTCTTCCTTTTTACTGATCCAAACAGCATCATACAAAAACAGCCAGACAGAAGGTAGGGGCAAGATCTGTCCTCACCTGCACAGCCCTCATTGCCCTGTGCATGTTCCAGCTCGCTGTGACAACACAACTGCAAAAAACCCTTTCCTCCACTGACTACGTTGTGGCCACATCAACTTTTAAACGCATTTAAAGCAGCCCATTTATATCAGTAGAAATGTTTCGTTGTCACAGAAGGGCATTTGATGCAAAGGCAACATCCACTCCTCCAGGCGCGCAGTCCCCGGCAGCCTCCCAGCCAGGGGTGCAGAGCCACTCGCGCAGAATGCTTGGCCCGAACAACGGCAGTGTCTCATGTACACAGGCCCCATTTCAGGTCTCCCCTGTTGTCCTTGCCATCCTAAACCATCTTTTTTTTTTTAACCCCCATCTTTTTCCATTCCAAGTGCCAAAAAAAAAAAAAAAGGTAAGGACAGTGTTATTGTAACATGATGCTGAGGGCATGTGCTTTAACAATGAGGGCATGTAGGGGTTGAGATGATGTTGGGATAGCAGTGGAGGGCTGGGAAGTGAGAGAGAGCAAGGAGCCAAATCGAGTGCAGTCTCTACTGCCATCTGGAACAGCAAGAGGTAGAGCCTCCAGACACATCCAAGTTTTCTCCTACAGAGAACCAGCTGCTTTGATGCAAAAGACAAGCTGGGACTGAAGCAACATGTGTGCAGTGTGCACGACTGGGCACAGACACAGGAATGAAGCAGAAATCTAAGGCAGATGCACCCGATTGTAGACCCCCACAAATCCGTAGTGGGGGGACAAACTTGAAGACAGCAATGTAATGGAAACTGAACCTGGAAAAATTCAAACCAAAGCGAGAGAAACACAGTAAGGGCAGAATTAATTACTCATGGGAAATGATATATTCATTGCAACTGTAACTGGTTCAATATTATTGAGCTCCTTCTAAGAGTAACGCAGTGGAGTGATGGGCACAGGATAACAGTTTGTGACGGAACTAAGGTAAACACCTGCCACTGAAGCAGCCCTAAAAACCAATTATTTAACTATATAGGTTTGCATCTGTCTTCTATAAAATTTTATTAGCTTTATGTGACACTAAATAACTTAAGAATGCCTCCGCATTTGAGAGAAATTCTAATCTATCACCATTCAAAAAAAAGACATTCTGTTTTTCTCTGAAAATCCCCTCTGCCAACATGCTAATCATATTATTGCTGATCCACGAGAGGTGAGGGGGTGGAGTAACCTAATACAATGAGAGAAACATGAACCAGTGAGTATAACACAAGGCACAGACATGCATTCTCATAAGCCTCATTTCACATTCAATATAACTGCTCTGTTTTACTGACAGTTTAAATCATAATGACAATGAAACTGAAGACTCCTACTGACGGTAATATAACTATCCAGCACTTTCTTCATTTCTTCGAGCAGCTTGAATACATTCAGAGTAATAAATAAAAATGTTTGTGGTTGGTGAGCCAATGTAAGGTTGCAGATAATTATTTATTATTTTTTAAAAATAACATTTCTTTCCAACCTTCAAAAAAGCTCATGTTCAATCCACTTGGATGCATAGGGGAATCAGGTTCTAAAACATTCCCGTAAGTGAGATTAAGGCCCAAATGAGCCCAGATGCTGGATCCCAAAATGACAACTTATTTTGTAACACAAAGGAACAGAGAGAAAGAAGGGACATATAAAAGAAAGAAAAGCTAAGGGTAACTGTTAAAAGCAAAGGACAGGAGTTACCACCACCATGAAGTGCCACAGGCTTGCAAGCTGGTAGATCTCCATTGGGCTTCTACCATGGTTGCCTTGTAGCCTCCAAGAAACAAGCAGAACTGGCAGGGTAACAGAGTGGCAGCAGCTCCTGCAGCAGTCCTCAAACACCCGCCCCTGGAGTCACCGAGCACAGCCTTAAATACCCTCACCGTGCTAGCCCCTGGATGTCCATCGGCCAGTTCACCAGTATCCAAGCGAAGTTCGCCTGGTACCGAGATGGGCCCTGAGTACCCACTGGCCGGTTCCCCAGTCTCCACGCAAGATCTGCCTGGCTTACCTTATATGGGAGAGTAAGTCCTTGCCGTGTTCTTGATTGTAACAACTTTTTATCTTTTTTGCTCATCTACCTGCTTCTGATGGCTTGCTAGGTGCCTCCTGGAGCTTTTGCAAGTAGCTCAGCTCCCGCAGCAGCCTAGCTGTGGCATCAAGGCTTTTTAGCTCCATGCTCGAGACAACGGCAAAGCAGACTCCATCTTTTAATCACTTTACTACAGCTTTCAATTAGGCTGGGTTACTAGAGGTCAGAAAAAATAAGAATTTGGTAAAATCTTTCAAATATTTAATCCTTTTCCAGAACAATTCAATTCCTGTGAGACCTCCTTGTATGTCTTCTAGTGCTCACTTGAGCAGTAATAGCCTTTTATCAAGTATGGAATGCAACGAGCCGTCCCCTATTGCCAAGATCTTCCTTCCCTACAGTACTGCAGGATCAAAGCACAAAGCTCAGAAAAGAAATATTTAGGTAGCAAACTAGTTCTTTGTCTAATTAAAATGCTTGAAGCCCACATGTGTTAAAACCCAGTTTTCTACATAATGACCTTTCTCTCCAGTAACATTCAATGATGAACACTTCTATGAATATATTACTCCCATCTTGTCTACACAAGGGCACTCATACACCCCTGCTTCTGTCCAAGTATCTGCACCAAGTACCATAGGGTTCAGTCAGCACATTTACTTCAAACAACTCCTTCAAGGTGTCCCTCAACAGCTTGCCTTTGGTGAGTAAGGCAACCCATCCACCTTCTAATTCTGCTTTTACTGCTGTGGCTTTAGCTAGATTTTCTGATAACCAAGTGGTCTTTGTCTAACAAACAGCAGGTCACCAACTGAGGAGCTGCAGACACAAAGCGAGGTATGGCAGGTAATTACTAGACAAGCTCAAAGTCTTACTATGATACGAGCCAATTTTATCTGCATATGAGAAACCACAGCTGGATCACTGGTTGCTTGAATAACAGAATTCAGCCCTTTGTACATTTTTTTCTACAGAAACAACATATTTATGAACTGAAGTCCGCTATTAAAAAAAACCCAAATCAACAACCCCATCCTTAAAGCTACTCCACTGTGTATTGTCAGGCTGCACATTCACAAAAACACTGTAGTCTCTTTTCCCTTCGCCTGTCACCCAGGGGTCTGGCTACCACTCTTTGATGTCAGCTTTAATACAACCAGACTGCTTTGAAAAGTGTAGTATGAGAAAAAGCTGTAAGACATCTTATCAGGGGCCTCTGCACTTGGCTCAGGAGTTGCATTTGAGCTCAGGTCCCTGCTATCAGTCCTTGCCTGAGTTGCATTTACAGATATGGCTGTGCCTGGCTATATCCTTTGCTGATCCTGTGATTGCTTTCTGATTTGAATTTGCGGCTTGGGCTCATGCCTGTCTCATCATTACAGCTGCTTCTGTGTAATTTTGTACTTTGTCATTCAACAAGCAGTGGAATCAGTGAATCCTGGTCTATTATGGATTCACATACACTACAATTACTCTCCTCCACCCCTTACATCCTTCACTCAAAAAAACAGCAGGGCTGCTCTCACTGTGTCTACAAGAGCTCACTTATACTAAAAGCCTGAACTCCCAACCCACATTACCTCCCTATCTCCACCATACCTCCGAATCTCTGACAATGTGAACATTACTTTTCTGAGCTTCTTACTCTGCTGAAAGGAGTAAATGGAAAGTCATGACCAAAGCAGATGGACCTGTGATAGAGGTTACTTCTGGCCATTTACTGAAGAAATCCATTAATACAACAAGAGTGGCAAATGAGTAACAAAGTCTATAGTGTTGACTGTCAGCTTTTCAAATAAAAAGCTAGTCTGGCATCAGCCTGTACCAACTCATGCTTGTTTTGTCAAGCAAGAGAAACTTTTGGAGCAGCTTGAGCATCCAACCCTGACTACCGATGGAGAACTTATAATCACTCTTATGACAACTCGCTGATGTGCACCACGAGCAAAGTGTATTGATTTTGTCTCTAATTCCTCCAGAATAATACATTTATGAGTTATTCTCCTGTCTTGCAGAGAAAGTTCAGTCCAGCTCAAAGTATAGCAGAGATAAATTATATTTGTTATTATTAGTAGTCTATTTTGCTGTCAGTATGCCATGTAATTTCTGCTCAACAACACAGACTAAACAAGTAGCTTTATATTATTCTTCTGAAACAGCAGCAAAAACTTACTCAATTTGTTCAACTGCTTCCATAGTAGAAGACAGTATTCAGGGTATTTAGGAAAGAAAAAAATGACCAAAACAAACAGTGAAACATTACATTTTCATCTCCTGATTTGTTTTCTGTGACACATACAAAGAAAATCACACTACTTCACACTTCTCTGAGTCTTTTCAGTGTTGACTGTACAGTAACAGGCAAAGGAACGTGATCCAGCAGAAGCTGAGTTTATGGCCAAAAGACAGGGTGTCGCTCTTCCTATTACGCCTGTGCATGCCAGTATTTCTTCTCCAAGGGTGAAGTACTTTTCTCTTGGCTTCTGTAACTGTTCTTGAAGAGCCCATAATGGTCTTCTCAGAGTTGATGTCATGTATTTGTGTTAATGTGGCTACAAAACACTGTCTCCAGGTATTTTTACATCATTCAGCAAAAATAAAGTAGCATTACATTATAAACTCTGGTCACCTGTAACTATGGTTTTCACCAATTCAAGATGAAGCTGTGCTTCATTTGTTCGGACACACTTTAGATTTCATGCTTTAAACAGTTTTATGGATGAAACATAGTTTGGACCAAAGTTTTCTTATTGTGATATAAGAATTAAGGATGATTAAAATACTTGTAATTATCTTAGTGATGGGGCTTGCATAATTATAGCAGCTTATTCTGCACCCTGGTTCAATTCCACTGGAGAACACAAGTTACCCTGAAAAGACAATTCTATCTGAAGCAGCATTTGAAAAAGTGAAATTTCAATTCTGCTAAGCTGATATACTGTAGTATGTCCTGTAAATGTTCTTCTTGTTTCACAGTTCATCAGCTAACACTGGACTTCAGGCTGTTTATTAAAAACACTAATCATTAGTTCATTTAAAAGCATTAGATTCAATTTCAAATATATGGCATATGTTTGAGAAACAAACATGACCCATTGAGTATCATTTGAGGGCTGTGAGTGCTCTGTTAATTTGAAAAACACACTGTAAATCAAGATTTAAAAACATCTTTGCACCCTGAACACTTGCATTAATCCTGTGTATAGACAGAG